ATATATACTGTAGTACATTAATCCTTATATAGAGTATTTTACAATTCGGTGTTTACTTATTAACATCATGATGTATCCACAAAGGCTGCTAAACAATGATAGTATACCTAACGGTACCCGCTATGGCAGTAAACCCTGGTGTACTAAGCATGGGGTATACTTACTCTTCGTTTTTGTAGGCCTAGATTCGTTGAAAAATATACGATTGTAGCTCGATCCTCAATTGTTTGTGTATGAGTTTCATCGACAACAGGCTGTATTTATCAGAGATTTTCGGTGACGTCCGGGGGTGACGTCCGGGGTAACATCCGTCCAACGGAAGATAATACACAGTTACTTACACGTCGATCCCATAATACATGTGCCAAAAATAGTAATATGCTCATCTATAGCCTACTTTTTGCAAGTTTTCACACATATTTAGGTTTGGGAAAACGTGAAATTAATGCTTTGCATTGCTGGCGTAACTATGGTCTTTTGTCAGTGTACAAATGTGTACACTGACATCTCAGTTTTCTATACTATTTTGTTTATTGAGGTCCTTCACACAATATGTTACGCATAAAAATATGATAATAGGCTTGTGTCTCAGATATTTCAGTCATTTCTCAGTCAAAGCAGACTATACTAGGCAATAAATCAAAATCATGATTACAGTATTATATATGTTGGCATATTAGGTATTTGTATACTTCAAGTCAAATAAATACATGAAAATTTATTTATTTATTTATTTCAACAATCTTTAATGAGGGTGGTCCATCTAGCCGCAGCTGATCATTAGGGACCCTCAATACACGCAGTAAAACAAAACAAAAGAGAGTATGAATCCAATTAATTTACAGTAATACAAATAACAAACTTTCAATTCCTAATTTACATAAAGAATTAATTAAAAATAATGTAAAAAACTTAACATGAAAATTAAAATTAAATTACAATTGAGCATGATTAAAAAACAATTAAAGTAGGCAAAAGAGACATTAAAACAACAAAGAAAGAAGTTGAGAATAAAGTAGCCCAAATAATCAAATAAAATGAAATGAATGGTATAAGAATGTGTGGACCAAAGTCAAGTACAATAATGATTTACAGAGCTTCAAGTCATGATGATCTCAAAGTTCTCAACGTTTATACGAATACAAATTCTAAAGCAATCACTAATAGGACTACATAATTGAATACAATTTTTAAGCAGGCACAAGACTACGTCGTTATACAAAAATAATATTAAACACACAAGAAACGTGGCAAGGTAAAAGAACTGCAACCCATAATATATTTCCTATAACATAATGGAAGATTTGTATGTGCTTAATGTCAGGTAGAAGAAAGTATAATACA